GACTCTGACCTCTGAACTGTGAGGTCTGAACCACGGCCTCTGGGGTCTGAACTTTGACCTCTGACCTGTGGGGTCTGAACTCTGACTTTTGAACTGTCACCTCTGAACTCTGGGGTATGAGCTTTGACCTCTGATCTGCGGGTCTGACATCTGAACTGTGGGGTCTGAACTTTGACCTGTAACCTCTGAACTTTGACCTTTGAATTGTGAGCTCTGAACTCTGACCTCTGAACTGTGGGGTACGAACTTTGACCTGTGACCTCTGAAGTGCGGGGTCTGAACTTTGACCTCTGAATTGTGGGGTCTGAACTTTGACCTGTGACTTTTGAACTGTGGTGTCTGACCTGTGAACTCTGACCCTTGAACTGTTGGGTCTGAACTTTGACCTCTCAACTGAGGGGTCGGATCTGTGACATGTGAACTTTGACCTTTGAATTGTGACCTCTGACCTGTGGGGTCTGACCTGTGAACTCTGACCTGTGAACTTTGACCTTTGAATTGTGACCTAGGACCTGTGACCTCTGAACTGTAGGTCTGACCTGTGGGTCTGACCTGTGAACTTTGACCTCTGAACTTTGACCTGTGACCTGCGGGTTTGAACTTTGACCTGTGACCTGAGGGTCTGACCTGTGACCTGTAGGTTTGAACTTTGACCTGTGACCTGAGGGTCTGACCTGTGACCTTTGACCTGTGACCTGCGGCTCTGACCTGGCCCGGCTGCAGCGTGACCAGGTGGGCGTTGGCCCTCTGGAAGGCGGGGAACCGGCTGATATCCGGGCGGAGAACGTCCACGCGGCTGAACACGCTGGACTCCTCGTAGGGGATCCGGGTCGGGTACAGGCCGGACGCATCCCCCGGGGGGAACAGGTGCCAGCGCTTCCTGCACAGAGAAAACCACAGAAGAAGAAATCTCAGAGGTATTTCCCCCTGTCACGGTCACTGACCTCTCGGGGCTCTCTTTATGAGAGAGCTTTTTCTTTGTGTTTCAGTTCCACCTGGCTGCCACAGGTGTAATGTGTTGGAGCTCGTCAACCACCCCATCAAGAGCTCCAAACCAGAGATGTCAGGGCCCTTTTTTTCCCTGGGCCTTGATCTGAGGTGATCATGTCGGTGAACTGACTTTGTTGAGACTTTGGATAATTTTGCTGTGAGCATTTGTGTGAAGCTTCAAGTGGTTATAATTTTGTTTTTCTTCACAGTGGAAGCTGGTAGGGGTTCTCTGCCATTTTGTTTAACTGTTATTCTCCTGTTTCTTGGTTAGCCAGGGAGTTCAGGTTTTGTACTTTGTTATCAGTTCTCTTCTAGAAAGTGTTTTTCTTTCAAATTAAAAGGGGGATGTTTTGTTTGTTGTTTTGGCCTTGGAGACCCTGAAGCTAAAAGCTTCCCTGTGCATGTTTATTGACTGAGATTTTATGTTGAACTATCAATTAAATTATCTTTTTTCTACTGAAGCCAACTGTTCAGGATACTTTATTTTGAGTTAGACCCAGTGCCAATTTTTACCCTTGGTGGTCTTGGGGGAGGGGTTGTAACACCCCCCAAAAACAAACAGTAAACAGGAAGTGTCTGCCTACAGTCGAAGACAACTTTCTGCCCCAAAACCCCCAAAAGATGGCAGAGAAAAGAGGTTTAATTCATGGTTTTTATGCAGCTAAAAGACTGTTTGAGCAGTTTTCAGAGAACAAGAGCGTCTCAGAACTAGGGTTGTCACGATACTAAAATGTTCAACTGAATACGGATACTCAGGAAAATATTCCATACTCGATACCATTTTCGATACCAGAAGGATAAAATCAGAGACCCCAAAATTTAACTGAATGTTGACAGGTTAGTGTCTTTGGTTTCAAACTGACCTGTTACTGATATTATGGTGGCCCACATTAATGACCCTAACCCAGTGCTTCTCAATTATTTTCTGTTACGCCCCCCCAGCAAGAAAAAAAATTTTCGCGCCCCCCCCCACTCCCCACCGTGACTGTCCATCTATGCATAACATTTTATCATTATTAACATTAAAGAAAAGAAAAAAAGAAAGACATATGGTCAAACTTACTACTTTATTAAATCGTGTTTTAGATCTGCAACAGAAAAGATTTTAAGTGCATCAATGCCTGAAATTAAAAATAAATAAATCCTTGTTAAAACTGTAAACATGTTTGACCAACTAATTTCACCATTGCAAAATTAGAAGGCAGATGCTAACCTGTCGTCTTGTAAGTCGTAAAATGTTGCACTGAAGTAGCTATGAGAACGCCACTGCCCCTACTGGAGTGGAGGCGCAATTACACTTTATATTAGTACGTCCAAAAAAAAAAAAAGCCTGTTCCCCAGGGTCACACGCGCCCCCCCAGGTATCGCTTTGGGGGGCGCGCCCCACTATTTGAGAAGCACTGCCCTAACCCTAACCCTGATCCTAACATAAATGTAGAGCCGTTTTAATGGTTAAAATAACACGTTTAACCTTTAAAAAAAGCGGTTTGCATGCAACTTTCAGAGTTAGGAATAAAAAGCAGAGTATTCTGGTGTATTTATATATATATAACATGTATATATAACATCACATAGATGTATTTGTGCTTCTTACCGGCCTTGAACCTGCAGCACGAGGTTGCACCCGTAGGAGTCCATGTGGCAGGGCGTGTTGGCCCCCTGGGTGCCCATCCACAGGGTGCTCTCCCTCCCGTTACGCCCCTCAAAACCGAACTCCGACCACCTCACATCCTGCAACGTTCAGCCAGAAGTTTAGCTTCACTTTGGCCATGATCACTAGGGATGTCCCGATCCGATCCGATCCCGGCCTATCAGAGCATGTGTTAAAGTTTAAAGTTATTTATCTACTTGCTTAGTTGTCAGACTCATGTTGAACAGGGATTTACTGTGATAACAACTTAATGGTTAGGACACACACCTGTGGGTTACAGATGCTAATGCTAATGCTCACGTGGGATCGGACTGGATGTGGAGTCTGGATCTGGATTTTCTCCTGCCGGCCGATACGAAGTTTTTGGGAAATATGGGCGAACGATCCGATATTATCCGAAGTTATTTATCTACTTACTTAGTAGTCAGACTCATGTTGAACAGGGATTTACTCTGATAACAACTAGCCAGCTGAATTATGGGAGTTTGAATAACACACTCTGGTTGGTAAAGAGACACTGACCTGTTTATTCAGGGGTAAACACAAAATAGACTAAATTATAAATAACAAACGGATATGGCATCAGTGAACAGTAAAAAGTGCAAATAACATTATAAACTGTATTAAAAAGGCAAAACACACAAACAACCTGAATAGAAAACAGTCTATTAACTCTGTTTTACATCCAGCTCTCCCTCTTTTTCGTCCTTAAGGATAAAATAATCCCACAGGACTGACATTTTTACAGATACCTGTGGGTCAGGAGATGCTAATGCTAATGCTAATGGTTAAGGGTGGGGTGGAAAATGACCAGAATGGATTTTATGGAACAACACAGCAAAGAGGAATGGATGATTTGAATCTGTGCACTGGAAAACGGATCGGACATTTAAAAAACTGCTTGATTAAAAGTTCGATTAACTTGGACTTGATTGGGTTGTGGAAAAGCTGGATCTGGAGTCTCGATCTACATATTCTCCTGCCGGCCGATACGCATATTTTTGCCAATATCGGCGGCCATTTTGATCCAGATATCGGATCGGGACCAGCCTAATGAACACGAGTCCAAACGGCCCCAGGGGGAGCCTAATTGTTACATGGGCATTTTTTCTGTGTGAATTTATTTTATGAATATGAATATGTTTCCCTTTTAATATCTATTTCATATCTTTGTGTATTTTCGGTTAATATGTAAATACTTTGGGAAAATATTGTAACAATGTCATATGGAGACGTCACCGATTGGGTTTTCACTTGATCACGTGATGCCTTTGATAGGAAGTCCTGAGTTTGTTTATAATTAGTCTGCGTGTGTAAGAGAAATGGCAAAGGACTAAAAAATGGAAGAAATGGACCTCTAGCAACTCCTAACCTTCTGGTTGGAGGGGCACACGGTATGGACAATTTGGAGAATGTATATTTTGTTTAATAAGTTTCATTTGATAATTCATGTAAGGTAACATGACGGTTTTATTGATGAATATTTTCCACCGCGTATTTTTACAGTGTTCACGTTGGTCTTGGGGAGTTTACATGACGGCAAATCCTTTAATAAACGTTTGGAACCATCAGTTGGATATCTGCACTTTCATCAACCAGTTAGAAAAAGTTGGGAGCAGCTCTACTAATCGTCCCACTTATCCTGGAGCTGGCTGGAGAAGTGCGTCTCACTTACTCTGCCCATCATGCGGCGTCGGAGCAGAAGAATGCAGAAATCGCTCTGACAAATGGAGCCATTACTCTGTACGAGCCCGATTGGCCTTTGTGAGGCACCATTTATCCCGTAAAGGCCCCCCGGGCCCGTCTCAGAGCCGTGAATGTCAGTGGCTAATAATTGCCCGAGGATGCTCGATAAAAATGTAACACCGGAGTAAAAAAAAAAGAAAAAAGAAATAAATTCAGTGGCGGTTGCTCGGATGAGAGGACGGCGCTTTCATATCGTTACCGAGCAGAGGACCAGAATAGCCGCTAATTCCAGGAAAAAAAGCCTCTGGTTTTAATTGGAAATGCCAAAATAAGGAGAGAGATAGACAGAGAGAGAGAATGTGAGGCTATAACTGAGAGATATTCAGGCTCCTTCAATTTGCATTTTTCATTTCACAGTTTTCAATTTGTGGAGGCGGCGGATCTCGTTAAAAATAGGCTCCAGTGAGTTAATTGCGTCTTCAAATAAATCTTAAGGAATCAACCTTGTAATTGTGTTTGGGTCTTAATTAAAAAATAAGGAAAAGGTGAGAAATGGTGCGTTCTGGGGATTTCAGATTACCTCAAACTAGGGTTGTCAAAAGTATTGATACTCGAAAAAGTGTCGATACTAAAATGTTGTATCCGGATACGATACTCATTTTCAAAAGTATCGACACCACCGCCCCCTTCTCTCTGATTTATTTATGCATTTATTTACGTTGTTTGTGATCATTAACAAGACGTTAGCCTTGTTAGCTGCGGCTAATGGCTAATAATAACATGCTACCCTTAATCAAGTACATATCTAACTCCGCCCACATCCAAATCGGAAGTTTTGATTACGTCACCAATAGGAAGATCCCAGGCAAGAAAATCCTAATTGCTTCATGGCAATATAGACATTAATTTAAAAATAGTTAAATTAATCTAGCAAACACTGAATTAAACTCTATCCATAATATTATGTTAAAATAGTGGATGTTAAATAGGTTTGTACAATAAGTCCAAACAAGTTTAACCAAAAAATATTTATTTCTCACAATTATGAAGGGTTAGGGTTAGGGTTAGGGTTAGGGTTAGGGTTAGGATTAGGGTCATTAATGTGGGCCACCAGTCAGATTAACATCCGTAACAGGTCAGTTCGAAATGAAAGACACAATTCAGTTAAATTTTGGGGTCTTTGTTTTTATCCTTGTGGTATCGAAAATGGTATCGAGTATTTTCCTGAGTATCGGTATCGAGTTGAAAATTTTAGTATCGTGACAGCCCTACCTCAAACATGGAAGGCTGGTCCTGGAACAGTTGGGCGATGTATTTGTAGTCGGCGTAAGCCCAATACTCAGAGGGGGGGTATTCGGAGAAAGGCCCCCCCTCGGTCTGACCCCGAGTCCAGCTCAGAAACTGAGAAACCTCGGCCTCCACGTAAGAACACTGGGTCTCAAACAGAGGAGCTAAAAAAGACAGAAAATGAGCAGAAACTGTTTCGGTAAAACGGTTAAATCGACTGTAAACCAACAGAACTTCCCTCCATTGTTTCTTTACCATCAGTTGCTGTTGATATTGATAAAAATAGCATTTCTGTCAGCACAAGCAGCTGAAAAATAGCCTGTTTAAAAGCTTTTTCAGAATTGTGGAAGCAAATTAAAACTGTTTTTAGGACAAAATGTGAAACATAAACAAAACATAGCATAAAATCTTATTTCTAATCCATATATCAGACTTCAAATCCAACACAGAAGGACCCCTATGAGGGCGACATACAAAAAAATAAATAAAAAAGATGGACAAAAAGTTTTCAGAAAAAAGTTAAAATATTCTAGAAAAGAAGACAAAAAATTTAAATGAAACCAAATCAGCTTCGAGGACCAGAAAACTCTTAAAATTTAAATTATTATGAACACACTTTAGTCGCAGACCAACCGGCGGGATTCAGATCCTTTAATTTACTTTTTTTGGTAATATAACTTTGAATAAAATAGCACGATTCCTCAGGGAATGATAGAGCTGTTGAAACATTTTAAATAAAAATAAATACACAAAATACACACAAAATCCAATTGGAGGAAATTAGACTGTGATTCCTATTTATATAACATTTTAAAAATCTATAACAGTGATCATTTATTGTGATTATAATGAAAAGCACAGACTTTACGATCTGAATGAAGATCCTGGGGCTCTAAAGGTAAACAGGGGGTCAAATGACTATATCAATTATATCTATAAATCATTAGAATCAAATTAATCATCAAATTACTCTGGATTTGGAGACCATAGAAATGGAAAAACAGTCGGAATGTATGCTTCCTGAGGGGAAATGGACCAGTTTCACGAACCATTTGAGGAAAAATTCCCGACTGGCCAGCAAAGTTTACTTTGAGAAGGTTAAATGAGCAAAAAAGTGTCCAACATCACAGCAAATGTACATGTGAGGGTTGGGTCTTACTGTTGTTCTCCTGCTTTCTGCCCAGCCTGAATCGCACCGGTCTGGGACCCAGGCGGGCCGACAGGTGCTCCGCGGTCCAGCGCAGAGCCGGCCAGTCCCGGGTCATGTTCGGGAAAACGGCCGGCTGCTGGAGGTTCTGCACGATCCTCCGGGCGGCCTCCGGGCTGAAGGGTCTCACGGACATGACCTGTGGCCGGATCTGTGGGATGGTTAATAAAAAACGACCCCAGTAGGGGCAGATGAAGCTCAGACCTGCCTTCAGTGTGCACATTTATATGTGAACATAAAAAACTGCTGCAAATATTCTAAGTAAATGTAAGAAGACAAGGATGAGTGAGGCCCTTTTAGACCTATATATGTACATATAGTTATTTATGTATATATTTATCTATATTCTGTGTGGAATTTTGTATATACACACATATATATATATATATATAGACATGTATATATGTATATGCTGTTGTTTTATTTATGGAGCTAGTAACAAAAATAATTTCATAAACGCGGAATAAAACTATGATTCTCTCAAATTTGACTTTTTTTGCTTCTTTTTTTCCTTTTTTTATCACAAACTATGGGAATCACTATTGTTTAACTTTGAAATCCTTTCATTCTTTTCATAAAGCACTACTGTCAGGAGCATACACCCTTTATATCTTTATACCATTTTCTTTCTTCTAAAGAAATACAAAATATCATTAAACGTTAATTTAATGGTTAAGATGCCATTTGCTCGCTACATTTTAGGGTCTATTTCAAGAATTTCCACATAACTTAATTGTGACTGAGAACTATTTTGGATAGAACTGTTAATGAATAGGTCTGATGTGCTTTGAGAGGCGATGAAAGTAGTCAGATTTCTGTATTTCCCAGCCAACCCTGAAGCGGCCTGCCTCTGCTATCCGTTAAGATAGTGTAGCTAATAACTAGCTTAACGTGACACACTGACCGAGAAACCACCCAAAAACACCTCCAAGGTCCAAATCCGTTCATACTATTCCAAACAAAGAAATGACCAGCATCCCATTAGTTTCAGAAAAATACAACAAAAACATTTATTAACTTGAGTTTGCAAGCACTCTCTTAAAATCCCATATATCCCAGCTAGCTAAACCAGTTTTGGGGAACTATAGGCTTTTTGGGGGGGGGTGTAATGGGACTCACCTTTCACGACACGTGCAGATGGGGTTCTACCGGATGTAAACAAAGTCACGTGACAGTGTGCCGTTTCAATTTACAGGTGGGAAATGTCTCTGTGAATCTGCTCCATTCCGGCTCCGCTGGCGCTACTAGGGAACGCACAAAGCTAACCAACCGTTGGAAACAAAATGGCGGCGTCAGATACCCAGTTTCCCATATGTCTGGACCTACTTCCTTCCGGACATGCGCAGTGCGGTAGAGGGGGCAAACCGTCGGGCTGTTTTTGTTTTGTGCGCTTGACAATAGCTTTGATTCACGTCAGTCCAGTTCCTTGAAGTTGCGGAGTCGTGAAACACAGATAAAACTCGGGATTTTTTGGGGGGCCCAAAAAAGCGACGACATGGGTGCCGGTCCGAGCCCCGAGACCGAAAGGGAGCTAGCTAAACCAGTTTTGGGGAACTATATGCTTTTTTGGGGGGGTGTAATGGGACTCAACTTTCACGACACGTGCAGACGGGGGTCCTACCGGATGTAAACAAAGTCACGTGACAGTGTGCAGTTTCAATTTACAGGTGGGGAAACGTCCCCGTGAATCTGCTCCATTCCGGCTCCGCTGGCTCTACGCTAACCAACCGTTGGAAACAAAATGGCGGCGTCAGTTTCCCAGTTTCTCCTATGTCTGGACCTACTTCCTTCCGGACATGCGCAGTTCAGTACAGGGGGCAAACCGTCGGGCTGTTTTTGTTTTGCTCGCTTGACAATAGCTTTGATTCGCGTCAGTCCAGTTTCCTTGAAGTCGCGGAGTCGCGAAACACGGATAAAACTCGGGGGGAAAAAAAAGCGACGACATGGGTGCCGGTCCGAGCACCGAGGCCGAAAGGGAACCGCTCCTGGTCCCGTCGTACGCGGGGACCAACAGCCAACCGGCCAACGGTCGAGTGTACGGGCGAAGATGGCTGGTGCTGAGCCTCTTCTCCCTCCTGGCCCTGATGCAGGGAATGGTGTGGAACTTCTGGGGACCCATCCAGATCTCGGCAACCCACGCTTACGGCTTCACCAAGTCGGACATCGCGGTGCTGGTGCTGTGGGGCCCCGTGGGCTTCGTCCCCTGGCTGCTGTTCATGTGGCTGATGGATAAAAAAGGTGAGCTGTTTTAGGGACATCCGGGACATCGTGTCCCGCCTGCGTTATCCAGCCTCTAACGCTATTTTTTAAAGATTTCTTTTTTACCCTTTTACCCCTGGAAGTTATCGATCCGCCCAGAAACTTGGAGATTTCACGTGAAATCCTGCTCGTCGTTGGCTTTTATTGACAAAAAGATAAAGTGGAGCTGTCCTCTGCTGTTAAACTAGGAAGTCAAGTTACTTTAGCTTCTTTAAAATAGATTTCAACAACAATTGGTCTAAAACAACTGTTTATTAACTTAAAAAACTGTTAACTTCCACTAAATGTATCACATTTTCCTTCTATTTAAGCCAAATTAAGTATTCTTTTAATTGAATTTTAAAAGACTAACATTAATTATTGCAATAATTGCTTATATTTAATGTGCTGGGTGCTGTTTATGTTTCCTTCTTTAAAATATATTTAAACAACAATTGGTCTAAAACATCAGTTAAATAAATTTAAAAACTGTTAACTTCCGCCAAATGTATCACATTTTCCCTCTATTTAAGCCAAATTAAGTATTCTTTTAATTTAACTTTAAAAGAATAACATTAATTATGGCAATAATTGCTATATTTAATATGCTGGGTGCTGTTTATGTTTGCTATACTACTGAAATGATCACTTAATTAATTAAATAATACATGTATATCAGTTTATCCCCAATATCTGTATTTCTATAAGTAAGATCCACTTTGTAAGATCCACTTTCAGGCCTGTTTTTATAAGTAGTTTGTGTTAGTGAGGAGGAAGTTAAAGTAAAAGCTCTCAGTGAGGTGGAGGCTGTTTCCTCATAAATCAGGTGACCTGCCCACAGTAGGCATCACATCCACATGGACTGACATGCCAAGGAATCATATCGTCATCTTGTGATCCTGATGCATCAATTATGTGTCCTGGGTCTTCTTTTTTTCTTTTTTTTTTAACCTAATTTAATCTCAAATTGCAGGGCATGTCGTCCTCTATCAGGAAGTGGGATTCAGTTTACACCTAAATCTACAGAAGATGTATTTTGTGTCTTTGTTTAACCGACTTCCAGGGTTTAAACAGGGTTAATCTGCATTTCTACTGATGGATATCTGATTGGGAGTGAGCAAAAAGCTCCCGGCTGAGAGCATCCCAGAGGTAGAGGCTGTGGAGGATGAACTAAACAGTGGTTGCTATCCAGAGAGAGTCCTGAGAGGAAGGTGGTGCCATCAGGACGAGGCCTTACGTCACGTTTGGGGCATGACTCGTGTAAAACGGCGTGTTTACGGGGCAGAATTGAACTGTGAGGCCGTAAAGCTCACAGGAGCTGATTCCAGCCTCTAAAATGTGACTTTTTTACAGCGTACACGCCCAGAAACCGCTTCTTAAAAGATTATAAAATCACACTTTACGTTGAGTTGCACTTTGTTTGATTTCAAATTGAAAACTTCTGTTTTGTCTGCTTTATAGAAATGATTTTTAACAACATTCTTCTTTTTCTGATCAATGAAAGCAATGTCAATGTATGGAATATTTTATTGATTAAAAAAATCTATTTATTCCTTTTTTAGCCTAATGAACAAAAAACAAAACAAAAAAATTTAATGTGCAGATTTATTATAAAAAACTAAGCTCTTTCTATTAATCTTATTGTTTATCTAATGCAAACAGGCTTTTTATGAATTAATTATGTGTTATTTATTATGTGACAAATTAGTTGCTTTAGTACTAGTTTAAAATTTAAACAAAATGTAACCTGACTGTAAAAATGGCACCTAACTTTTATTTGATTTATTTTCATTTTGAGCACAAAAATAAATTTGTTAGATAAAGACAATGAATACACTGTCTTTTAAAGATTTAGAATAAAATAAAATAACTTATAACAGATTTTTCAATGATAAAAAAACAAATAAATAACAGTAGAATTGTTGTTGGTAATTTATAAAAGAACGTTTGTGAATCTATCTATCTATCTATCTATCTATCTATCTATCTATCTATCTATCTATCTATCTATCTATCTATCTATCTATCTATCTTTTTTCTCTCAACATGGAGTCTGCTGCCAGTCTTATTTTTAGTGGATTATCCTTAATTATTGCAGCTATTTTCAGTTAATCCGATGATTGTTTTGGGGGATATATGAGTTCGAAGTAGGTTTTTCACCCCCCACAAAAATGGAGCTATAAAAAATAGTCACATTTAAATGTTATATAAAGAAAAGTGCTTTAGAAAAGTTGATGTTTTCAAATGTATGAGCTACATCTTTTCATACTTTCTATCTTTCTATTACCTTCTACTGTCTGTGATACTTCAGTGATTAAGCCATTAAGTCCTAATCCAATTAATTTGATGAATTTTGGGCATCTAAGTAACAGTGTAAATTAAATTAGACTCAGCTGAGGTCTTTAGTCAGTTTCAGCCCTCTGAAGAGATCAGTGACAGGTTATTATTGTATCTGGTAAATGATGTATGTATATTTTATCTGGGTCCAAACAAGGAACTTAAAAAAAAAATCTTATTTAGAAATGGAGGAACTGAGATGTGAAAAAAGGAATTCCCTAAATGGAAGTCATGTGGGTGAGAGTGGAGTTCACAGAGGGGTTTCTCCTGACTGATTGCTGTCACACTGAAAGTATTAAATAAGGAACTTCAGGATTTTTCTTTCTCCTCACAGATTCTGGAGGCTCATTTGTGAGGCAAACCGTTTGTAGAGCTGTTAAAGTGAATTGTTTCCTACTCACACTATTTATTTTGTGCTTTCATCTGAATAATCGGGGGTTTGTTTGAATCGGTTGGTTCAAATTTTGTTTGAATTTTTTTGACAAAAGCTACAAAAATACAAATATTTATGTCCCTTAGATAGATCATGATTAATATTTCAGGACGTTTTTTAATAAAAAAAAAACAGGAAATGTTCTTTGTAAAGGTTGTTTTGAGTCTATGGTGAAGAAATAAGACTCAGAAGTCAATGTATCCAACAGGGTCCGT